TTGCCTTAGTGTTGGCAAAATTTCATGGTGGAAAGAGTTTCTTCATGGTTAAAAGAGGCAATTTATTTCCTGGTATTGTCATGGACTTGTAATTACTAACGGAAGAGGTGTTAGTTTGAGAAATGTGTTTCTAATTAAGTGATAGAAAAAACGCAGATTATCTGATTACTCTGTTCCTCTCACATTTATACTTCGAGAGTATTTGCAGTATGCAAAAGGTCGAAGTGCTACATCATATGTCTTGTAATACTGAAAAGACAGTATTTTGAATAACTCGAAATTTTGACTTTTTATAAAGCTCGGCGTAAATAATCGATATATTTGCTTATATGTTCCTACGTTTACAAGAGAGTCCCTAAAAACAATACTTCGAGCTTAACTGGGTTCAATGCCGATTTGTGCTTCCCAGATCAATCTCGCAATCGGGTGATTGCTGATGGCGACGTTAGATAGAAAACCAACTGAGAGGCACGCAGAGGGCTTCGGTGGTTCATTGTGCAATACGCGACTCCCCTGAAAGGGTAATTGTGGTTCAATTTGGCCACGGGTCCAAGTTTTGCGAATATCTGAGCATAATGGTGTTTACAATACCTGAACTAGTCGTTTCAAGCAGCGAAATAACTATGTATTTTGGATAATTCTTTCTACTTCTTTTCAGCAAATACGAGGTGTTATTTCACTTCTTTATTTACCTACAAGCTGATATTTCGGCGGATTTCGCCTTCCACAGAGCCTGGAAAGGTCAAGTTGACAGCAATATATTCGGCCAGACACCTCCATAACCAAGCAAAAAAAAACGCCAAACCAAAATTTCAATCACATTTGCCATAACTCTGCACATTAACATTCTATGAGCCTTCCACTGAGTATGTCGTGTGAAGACCGACCGCACAGAATTCACTGGAAGCGTAATGTGCCCCTCCCATTAGAATAACAAGTTTACCTACTGTCCAATATCGCGCGTAATAATGAGGCATTCTTCTCTGTTGTTCATTTTCGGATTTCTGGATTTAATCCAGAACGCATCGAGAGTTTTGCGCCCTTATGTTCTCGATTCCTGCGCGAGGATCGTGACACGTACTTCAAAGTCCTCTCCGTTATGTCTCTGGATCCTACGCGTGCCTTGCGGGGTATTTGGTTTATGTTTGCCTTCTAGGTATTCCTTTACGCGGACACAGAGGGGTCTGCTCGTTTCGCCAATGTATTCGTCTCCGCACGCCTTACAGGAGATCAGATAAACCATACCCGAGCTCATGCAATCACCGTTTTTACCATTGGGGCAAATTATGCAAGTTTGTGTTGCACACAGACGGTCATATAGGCGGTTGCGAATTGGGTTACGAATTGGCTGGCGCCTAAGATTACTCGGTGGCATTTCAACTACGTTTACCGAATTGTCTAGACCCGCCCTTCTTAAGCAGCGTTTTATAGCTGCACTTACATCATTCGAGATGAAGGGTAGGATAAACGGGACCTTTTTATGTATATTGGCATAGATTTGGAAGAACTTTGTTTACTGCCATAGACAAAGGATTAGAAGTAGTACACTGCACTATTTCTGCCAGAATATTTGTGACAATTTCCTATTGCGATTGTTATGCGTTTGAAAGGCAGTTGTTGGCATGAACTAAATTTTGTACGTTAGTAATTTCTCTACAAGTACGTATTTCTTATCTCATCAGGGAACACCACTGTAAATTGAAATTAGCGAAGAAGTAACTCTGTTTCTAATGCTTAGCCTTCCATTAGGAAATAGTGAACTTTCTGCTTTCCGATCTTTTAGTAGACTATGAGTTTTCGATGCACTGACTCCCGTTTGCTGAAGGACGATGTGTGCATACGTTACCTATTGGAAGTTATCACGATTGGCTCACTACTTCATGTTATGTGAAGAAATGAGCCAATAAGAACACCTAATCTATTGAAAGTTTTTGAGCATCACGGCTTTGGCTGTATTATGTAATTTGATGAATTCAGAGTATAAGAGAAACCGTGGACATATTTTTCTGAAAGTATATTACCCCATGCAATCTTTGTTAGAAACTCATTATATTTGCGGGTTTTTTTTTCCAGGCTATCGCTCAAAGTTGAAAGAAATCGCCGCTGAGGTTTCTACTGCTGAGGAGAAGTAAGCTTATGTGTTTTTTTTTTACATAATCCTACATCATATATCGTATGGCAGCATTTCTTTCATTCGATTCGTTTCATCGCATCCAGCATCCACCAAGCTCTTTGGAGTTCGCGCATTGGTTCGGTTGCAGTTTAAATTTTTTGTCTTCTTTATGAATATTATTGGATGCTTGCGAACGAACTTTTCTCTAAATTCCTGGGAGAGCCGGGTGAGGGAGTTTTTTACAGCATGCATTCGCTAGCCTTTGTGGAGGGAGCAGGTGTGGTACAATTTTCATGAACCCGGAAAGAGGTTTGGTCAACCCGGAAAGGTCTCGGGAACCAGGGCCTTGCGGGTTTTGAACAGCGCCACCATTACTATTCAGTCCTCTCCCTAAATAGTTACTGTATTGGAAATATTTCTTACATTCAGAAAAGAGAAAAAAATATGTTGTGTTCCAGAAAAAAACGCATACTTCCTGAACTAAAGAAGAAACGAGCTGAATACGAGCAAATCTCTAGGAAAAACAGCACGGAATCTTCTGAACTAAGGGCAAGGGAAGAGGAAGTTAGAAACTATAAGGTTATTTTGAATACGTATGGTCTTTTTGCTTTTTTTCTTACCTTTTATGCTCTCGACTTGGGACATTTTCAGGAGGAATTGAATTCGATAACCTATGATGAGGATGCTCACACGAAAAGCCGCGAGACATTGGTAAATTTTCAACAAGACGTTCATCAAATGCAAATTAAACTGAATGTTTTGCATCAAAAGTATGTTCAGTTGCTGTTAGTCAATCTTCTAAAGATAATAGCCGGCAATTCTCACCTGGGCCTGTTCTGTCCCATAGTAGTTTATTTGCTTTTGTATTTTCGCTTCGGCTTCCGAAATACTTCCGATGGTGAATTTTGGTCGGAAAGCTGGAACTACTCCGATACTCAGATGGCCTTTCCGCACATTAACTTCGCAGTTTCAGTAACTCTCCTGTTCGCTTCCTTTTCTTGCAGCTCTCATCCATAGTTGTCGGGTTCGCGTGTTGTTTCGGTTTCGTTTTAACATGTGTTGTCTTTCCTCTTTCCTGATTGATCGAGTCGAGCGAGGTTTTCTCAAAATTTTGGCACCGCAATGCTAGTGCATGTCCATGTTTTCAACACTGGCATTCTCCGTTCGTTGTGCATCGAAGCGAGGTTTGCTATTCTAGGACTAGGGTTCCTCGGAGACAACCAGAAGTAACCCAGTCCGAGCAGTTTACGGAGAAGTATACCGTATTTATGACTATTACATTCAAGTGTTCTGGTTTTTCGACAACTGCAGATAGTTCTTAGCTAAGTAGAGCACTTGATGGATTAAGAAACTGGGAAGGAAAAATTTAGTGTACCAATCATACACATGATTTTTCTTAAATTTCGCTTTGTTTTTAATTTTGTTTAAACCAAAATTCTCAAAGAAAGTAAGGTGAAAGCGGTTTTGAAGTTTTTAATCTTGATGTATGCACAATGAACATTACCGAATTAGTCGGACACATTATCGCGTGCTGCTGGGCGGAATTTCTCTTATTCGGTCGTCGCCTGAGATGTGAGTCTACGGAGAACGATAGAATGGGTTTTGTGAGCTCCAGAAAGTGACTATTTTATCGTGACAGAGAAGAAGATTGAACGCGAAAGCTTGTGCTTTAATGATACTGACATTTATATTTTATTCATTCTTACTTCGCTTAACAAAGTTCGCTTTGGTATAATATTTGCTAATTTAAATTCTCTCGACGAACGTATCTGTTAACCCATAACGCCTCAGCGCCGTTTTGCATGGCTGCCTCGTATCGAATACGAGCACTTTTTTGTTAGCTGTGCCTTCCGATTTTTTTAAAACATAAAGTATTTCTTCAGTAACTAGAGTGCTTTAAGGGTTCTGAACATGAGAGAATTTGGAAAAGACTTTACTCTATCGTTCTGTGGATATGAATGATACGTATGCTAGTATTTACTGTGGTTACTATGGTCCATTATGTAAATGCGAAGCTGTTAGCACTTGGAAGTGTTCTGCACCTTTTTTTGAGTCTACTTCGGTGGGGGTTTATATCTGCAATTTTTTTTACGATGGCTATGGTGCTGAAAATGAAATAACAGTTGATTGTTGGTCATTTCACTGACCAATGAGCTTTTTCGAAAAAAAAAAAGGTTTCTTGTAAGTTATTAAACTGTGGAGAGTGGTTTTCGCGGTATCACCGCTTTCATTTCTATTAGTTATCGAATAAATATACACACTGCGGTAAAAGGAACTCTGAGAGCCACTAAACTCTATATGGACGCTATCTTTAGCGTCCATAAGATAGTTTAGTGAACGCGGACAGATCGTTTAGTGGACACTAGCGTTTATACCACGCGTTATGGGTTAAAGTGTGTGGTCACGAATGAGTTTGGCACGCTGAAATTTGTCGATTAGGTGATGAATTTTTTTCAGAAATCCACGAATTCATTTTACCTACAAGGATCCATTTCCTGGCTTTAATCGGGATGATGTTCGTGGATGTATTGCTATATTGTTTCGAATTAAGGATCCCAAATATGCGTTGGCGCTTGAAATCGCTGCAGGATCGTTCGTAAGCTTTCACTTTTTATTTGAGTTTTTGTAGTTTTCTTGCCTTAACGTAATACCATTTATGTCGCAGTGGTTTAGAGCAGTTCGTTTAAAACAGAAGTTGCAGTTTGCCACTTAGATATATTTGCATTTACTTCATTCTTGGTTTCGTTAGCCCGTATTAGTTAAATTTTATTAGCTCACTTGGTTGAGATGATTACGATAAAAATTACATATTACATAAGTGCAAACTACCAAAGCAATGACCTGTGCTTCTGAACGGTCATATTATGTTTCGAAACTAAATCAACTGCTACGGTCCTCTAGGAGAAGGAGTCAGTGTGCCGGTCTGTCCTTCTCGAAAGAACACAAACTCGGTGTAATGCGCCCATCGCTGTTCCTCATAGTCACCACAGTTCCGATAATTGACCATATCCTGCAAACCAAATCTACCATCTACCATATTTTTTAAAGTTTACACACTTTGTGGTGTTGCTTGCGGTGGTCCTAAAAAGTTCGTTTACATCATGTCGTTGTGAAGCTTCTAAATCCACATGTAATCGTTATTTAATGTGGTGGAAAATGTCCTCCAATGACCTTTTTCAATAGCTTAGTTTTTATACTTGGCAGCTTAATTGGTTTGTTGAATAGTGGTAATGAAATATTCCCCAGTTTCTTCCCGTTTAACTCTCATTATGAAAGACGATTATTGATGATTGAAGGCTTGTAACTGCATTAACCATGACATTGTTATAGGAAGTAGGTTTTCATCAATCACGCGCGCTTTTCCACTTATGTTGAACACTATGTCTTTTGAAAATCTTTTGTTTATTGCTTTTTGAATGAGCACAACTCTATTGAGAATGAAGTCGGACGCGCTGTGAATGATTATCGTAAGTGGCCATTGTGCAGAAAATTGGATTTTCCCACTTTGGCCACTTATTATGTAAGACATCGTTCTGCATTCGTTTAGTACCCCAAGTCCATCACGCAGTTATTTAATATATCTATGTGAGAAAAATGCTTATAAGCAAACGCCACGTCCCACGGAAACAAATAACTTTATGTTGACAGTCTACGTCCTTAACCAGGAACTTATTATTCATACTACGTTTCATAATATTAAGACGATGTCAAGGACAAGTTCGTTTACAGGAGAGGGCGTTTAAAAGGATTATAAGAACTAGGAGATAATTCATAAGTTTAGAAGTTTACCGTTTGGCTTGAGCTAATTGGACTACCGGAGGCTATCGGATAATTGGGTGCAGCAAGTCCGTTTGCTCCACTGCAGCATGTAGCGACAAGTTTGAAACCCTTCTCAGCCATCATATCGCATGCCTGGAGTGAGAAAAGGTTCGATAGAACATAGCGCAACAGAAGAATGCAATTTTCATATAGATACGGCGTCGTTTTATTTCTTTTTGTTCTTCCTTGAAAGAGCGCGAAGGTGGATTTTGGATTTCAAAGGGACGCATTAAAATCGCAAATCATTTACAAGTACAAGGACGATGAGATATTAGCAAAATTTGTAATTTATTGCCTATTTCTACATAAGATTTTGACTACAGGTTCAGCCTAAATAGGTTCAATGCCGATTTGTACTTCACAGACCATTCCTGCTGAGAAATGAATTTTGATAGAACGGTTACGGTAATTAACTGTCTGAGAGAAAGGCAAATGAGGATTGATGCATTGGATAGCACGTCCGTCTCCGGAAATGGTAACCACTGCTTCGAAGTCCTATTGACGTTCTGAGTTTTGCTAATATGTCAGCACTCTTCTAGTTTTATTTCAATACGCAGTGGATAAAAGCTAAACATTCTGACTCCAACCACAAGTGTTCAGATAGGAGGACTGTAAAAGGAAGCGTTAGTTGTCGTTCTGTTTTGAATTAGAAGTAGGTTTATTGCTATTTGCTATATTGATGGAATAGATTTTGCATATTTAACCATGTAAATGTTCAAGAAACTAAAGCATTACCATACTGCAGTTAATACTTACTCGTTCGAGGCATTGATGCTTGAGATAGAGTCGAGACGTGTAACGATCACCATCATCTGGCCCACCCGGGTCGCGGCTTTCGTTGAGTGTGTCACCAAAGACTTCGCGACACAACGTCGCTTTTCCGCAAACGAGTATTCTTTGTAGTTTTCGAAATTTAATATCAGCCTGACCATCTCTTCCAAATGCGAAAGTGCTTCTATACCCAAGAGTAATGTAGCCACCTACAATTGTATTTCAAAATTAACTATATGCTTTTGATAGAAATTAGTTTTCTATTTTTGTTTTACTCTGACGAGCTTGGTGATTTATGAAAGATTTTGGGGTTGGGTAATAGCTTTCCAAATGGGATTTCATTTCGAGCATGTCGTACTAATCTCTGGAATGTCGTGCTAGTAGTTCGTTTTAAGAACAACGCTAAGACAATCTTGCTTCATATATGGAGCCATCTTCACAAATGACAAAACGCAACTGCATCCTTATTATGCTTTTCCATAGAGTATATTGAAAAAACTCACCTGTGTCACCAGTGTTGCAGCTTCCATTAGATAGTCTTGGTTTTAATAAGTTCAGGGGAGTGATTTGGGTATCGAGAATGAAGCGTAGCTTATGGATTCCGTAAAATTCAGCCTCGTTAAGTAATCGCAATGTATCGTTGAACCCTTTTGGTAATATTAACTTTTCGCTTCTTAAGTAATTGAGAATATGCGAAAACAGCAACCCATCTCTGTCGATGAAAAATTTGTTGTTGTCAAGTCTTATAACGTCTTTTGGTAAAACTGATGAACCGTTCGCTATTCTGAAAAGAAGCGTGTCAGGTTCCCTCATCAACGTTTCTCGAATGGTGCTGTAGCATGTCCCGCCGACATTCAGCTCAATAATATCATCATTCATCTGTCTGAAATCAGAGATCCCAGAAGACCTAATCGCAAAAGTTTTCAAATATACGTATATGGATGGTGCATAGATAAAAAACAATATAATATCGGGAAATGAGAGAGGGAGTTAAATGTCTTTCTTATTTTCCTCAGAACAAAGTCAGATACGTTGGTCAGTGTGAGCAGGTTGCATTGCGAACAATTCTATTGGATGGGGAGGCATATGTGAAGAGAGCTTCGCCGTTATCCATCTGTGTCTCCACAAACTGGGCGTGGTTTCTAACTCCGCCTTTGCTTATTTGAGGGTTTCGTTATCGAAAACGACTTTTTATAATTCAGCTTAAATATTCTGTGCAGTCGTTCTTTGTGGAGTTGAAACCTACTGAGAATATCGATTTGACGTGAAAGCTGATATTGTTGTGTTTTCGTTGGGATTCGAAATGAAAGAAAAGTATGCACATTCTCATCTATGGAGATTGTTTCATTCCATTTATTTACATATCAGAAAATATACTTGTTAATCGCCCGGTAATCAGGAATGTCAGGATGAGCGTAGCGGAGGGATTTTTTCCCGCCAGTCGTCTGTCCTCTAGACTGCTCGTTGATTCTTCTGCTGACGTCTGTTTGGCAATCATGCACATGGAGGGCACTTTCATAAATTGGCTTCTCATCACCATCTTATCGATCTTGTCTACTACGCCCTTATTCTACGACTCCGAGCGTCTTGGATTTTATAGAAAAACTGGAGTATATAACTATAAAGTGGTTCATAGCATGAAATTTCGAAACGCTGATGAACCAGTCGTTGTACATAACAAAGGTTGGACACAAATTTCGACTATAATTGTATGCTCAGTGATGGTATTTAGGAGTTATGTGGATGGTTCATGAATTACCCTCATACCTTGTGTGTGGATAACAAGAAACAACGTGGTAAAATTGGTGTGTCTACCAAGACATGAGTTATTTTAGCGGTACGTTTAATTATGAAAAAATACCAACGGCTGCCAAAAATGAGTACCAAAAATTAAATAAAAATATTTAAGTAAATTTGAAGGAGTACGTCGCAAGGCTAATAAAGATCTGTTAGTTGAGTTAGGAACCGTAATAAATATACAGAATTCCTTGTGCTAGTGAAGTTTTCAGTTCTCGACGACTCTGTCTTTGCAGTGGTGAATTTTCCAGGATTCAGGGACTTGCAGTCCCATTAGTCCGGATTACTTCACTCGCTGATTAGCAAACAATAGCAGTAACTTCTCCATGATGCTGCTTATTGCTACCATTTAGAGTCCATCTTTACGGCTTCTCAATTATTTGCTATTAATAGGTTATTATTTTTTGTGGTGGAACTTTAGGAGCCGATATTGAGCTGTTATTAGTTAGCAATCACATGGTTAAATGTTCGGTTGATGCTACACTGACAGTACCCTTGTTTTAGACACCATTCAGTGAAGACTGGCACATTAGGGTAATGTAAATAAATGAAATTTCGCACTTTAAATCATTGTTGACAATGTCGCTTATTTATATATTGTTTCTTTTGGCTTTTTGTAGTTGTCATTCATATGCTGGACGGCGAACGAAATGAATAAGAACAATTTCGTCCTGTAAGACGTAATGGTGTCCTCAAATAAGTTTTTATGTTGGGGTTTGCTATGGTGGTCTTAAGTTTTTCAGATACTATTTTAAAGTTAAAAAATTGCAAAAGCGGAATATTAATATTTAATTGGGTCTAAATTTTAACCGGCGAGAAGGAAAATATATATATTTATATGTATATGCATGTGTATGTGTATATATATATGTATATGCATATGTGCACATACATATAGATAGATATACGTATATGTAATATGCATATCATGAAGTACTTTATTTATTGAAAAATCTTAAGCAGTTATTGAAACGTCCGTGGGGCTTAAACGAGCTGAAGTGGTGGATCAATATCATTCATCAAAAGCTCATTCAAAAATAAGCAGCAACGGTGAAAGTAGCGAAGAACGCAATTATTTATATTGACCAGGATTTGTAATATTAGCCAGTGACGAAACGGAAGCTTTTTATGCACCTCGTATCTCGCAGTTATAGCTGTTATGTTAGGACAGAGCATAATAGTTTATAATAACACAATTGCTCGCCGGCATCAACCAAATTTTCATCTTCAGTTTTATTTTTTGCTAACAAATGTTCTTCAACGAAAGCGAACACAGTCAACAATTTATTCACCGTCACTCCAAGGAATGGTGTGCTATTTTGAGTAAAGCATGTACCCTTTCTTAGGTTGTTGTAATTATCGAAGCTCAGCTGGTAGCCCAGAGCAAGCAGTAGTTTGAAGACAGTATGGCATGGCTGCATGGTAGTTAGGGTACGGTGAACCAGCCAATCTGGCTGAGTTTTCTGTGAGCGTTGACGACATCAGAACCATCATTCCTATACAAAAAGCGAGCTCTGGAATTGTTTTGGCCACTTTTTTTTCATGATGTTGTTGAGCTTGTGACGCTGCATTACGCAGTAATTGGTGTCGGCCATCTTGTTTGCTACCAACTTGGGTACATATGAGTTGGAGTTTCTTTTTCATTGGTGCGAGCCTGCACATACTTGTCACGGTCAGCCAGTGTGTCGAGTGTCCAACAACATCTCATTTTAAAGTAGACTGTCGAGTTGTTGTAACATGAGTGAAAGTAAATATTTGCCCGTATAGAGGCGTACTTTCAGTTCGCTGCTCATAGTTCTTTCGTCAAACTGGATTGACTGTCCAGATCTAAGCATATCTTCGTAGCAGATTTTGGCCTATAGATGACCCTTCGTTAATGGTGGCATCTATGTTTGCACTGGTGTAAGTGGTTGAAGAACATAATAACCTGGTTTAACGCTTTAATTTCGAATATATATATTACTTTCCTAGTAGCGTTCTTGTTCTTTGTGCCCTTGCTGTGGAATGCTGGAAAACATATTTCAAAGCGTACAAACCAGTTTGAGCGCAGGAAAAAAATCTTAATGAAAATCGCTAGGAGCTTATCCTCTAACCTAATAAATGACTTATTGTCTGTGTGCAAGGTTATCGTCCAAGAGAAAGTTCTTTGATTTAACATGCTACTATATGATGTCCGCTATTTCCATCTTTCGATTGCATTATTTCGTGTTTGTAGTAAAACGTGGTGTCGTAAGTTTCCAGCTCTACAATGTGGTGGTGAAGGACAAGCATACGGCTCGATTAATTGTGGAAACCGGCCTGCCACATCGTCGCACCTTTGTGCCTTGGACAGAAGTCGTACCACGTCACTACCACGACATGGGCCAACGTTTCCGTCGTGCGCAAGAACTGGTACATTTTCTCGTTTTTTTTTTTAAATGAGTTGAACAATAATTTATTAGTAATGAGGACGTTGTACCCTCCATTACTGCATTGGAACTAGCTATTATGAGGTTTAGCAACTCAAATTTCTTGGTTTATGATAATTTTAGGCAAAGAAATTCAAAGACGAGTCAATGATGCTGGCACTAGACCTTATTGAGTATGATCCCGTGTACAAGAAAGTGTTTGAGCTTGTCTTTGGCGGTGTGAGTTCAATTTTAGTATATTATTAATAGCAGGCTGTTATTTGCATAATGAGGTTGCTTGCACTATTTTATCTGCTTACGACTTCCATTCATTTTTAAGATGTTTTTTACATAATGGATAAGCAACAAATTTTTTTGCCTTTGTTATCAGGTTTTCTTGGTTTCTTCCTTGGTGGAGGTGGTCAATTCGGTTTAATTTTCGTCGAAAACTGACAAAGTGGTAATGCGACCTATTCACTTCCTCGGTATGTAATGGTGTTGCAAAAGTGGGAATTGCTGCTCCGATATGAAATAAAGACCTGAACGCAACAGAAAAAGCTTGAACCAGACTTACTTGCAGTTTTACACGCACTCGTATACATTGGATTAGTTGTTTAAAATTGTAGTTGAGTTTGATGGAGTGTTTGACTTTTAGATTTTGATATGTGACACCATACATTGTGCAAAGGAAGTGGTTTATGACAGCCAAGTGAAACTGCGGGCAGTGACAGCACGAGGAGATGACTTAAAACCGACAGGAACAATGAGTGGAGGTAACCTGAAACGGAGTTTTTGATGACATTTAAATCTACCCTTCTCATACTACAAAACTGTTGAGGAGCGCCTGATAAGAGAGGACCAATACTTTTGGATCTGATTGACTACACCAAGTTCCAGTCAGAAATCAAATGGAAGCAATCCGAAATAGAGAGGCTTGGAAGTGCGACGTCTGTCTACCATTAATTGTTATTCGTTGTTCGAAGATGAGATTTTTCAGCGGAGGTGGCAAACCTTGATAAAGTACGTGCCCGCTACTGTGAGTTGAAAGACAAGTTAGAGCGTGCATCAACACGTCTTGATGCCTTACGAGAATCGTTCAAAGATGGCCCTTTGCAACAACTTAATGTGGAAATCAAAATGCTAGAGAGGGTATATTTCACACCTCTTCTTCACGAAATATATCTGTCAGAAATTTCGGACTAATACTAAAATCTGATTTATCACCCAGCACTCTGCACGATGTTAACTAACTTATTTTGGGACCTTCCGGAATGTGATACCCTTCTGCGTGAAATGACACAGCAGGCCAAGGAACTTAACGACCGCATAAACGCCTATGAGGAGCGAAAACGAAATGAGCAAGCTTTTATTGTATGTTTTCGATTGAATTTTGTGCATTTTTTTCCACTTTTTTAAAAGATGAATATAGCGATGCCGAATCACTTGGAAGAATTACGTTCTATTCCCAGGCAGTTGATTGTAGCCTTTCGCGAAATCGAGCTGTAGAAAGCAATCCAAACACACATGACATGACTGTATGTATGGACATAATTACATGATTAGGCATGACGTGAGTTAGGAATTCGGACGGGTAGACAAGCATTTTATATCCTCAATAAAGCTGCACATTCGGATGAGTGCATAATCAATTTCAATAAGCATTTGACTAGTTGCCCGGAGTTGGAGACCTCCACTTAGCTTAGCGGCTCATTTCTACACTTTTTATATAAGGAACGTTCTTAACTGTTGAGATAACGTTGTGGAGTGGCTGAGACTGATTCAATTCTCATTTTCAGTTAGGTTACACATTGCTCGGTGCTGCTTTACCAAAGAGATTCTAACGGTTGCAAAAGTTCATCTTGTAAGGCCCAGTTTTGTAATAAACAAGTGCATCGAGCTAATAAATACTACACGTTGCCTTATTTTGTTCGAAATAGACATGATTTTAAAGATATTTATAACAAGTAAAATAAATGTCTAGATGGAGCCGTTCTTTTTTCCTATCATTTGAGTGATGGATTTGATCTAATAAACTGACTAGCTGGTGGATATCAGTCCTTTTCGTACTTTCTTGGGTATATGTGGAAAATAAGCTTGAGTGGAACCACCCACTGTGCTAATTCAGCATTCACCGGCGCAGGAAACTCATGAGGAAGTTTCAGTTGACTTTGTGCGTCTTAAATACTGTTGAGAAAAATTTCGAGTTGGTAGACGTTTGCCGGTTAGCAGCGCATTCATGCGATCGTTGTAAGCTAAGTGGAGAGCAATAGAACGGCATCATATTTTATGCGCATAGATTTGTTCCTACATCAGTTCATTTTCTGATATAAAACTAAACTGTGTGCACGTTTTATGCTTTTAGGAAAAAGCGAAAATATCGGCCCAGAAGGAGTCGGATGCGGCTGAAAAACGACTGGAGCAAGCTAAAAGCAATTTTGAGGCATTGAGCGATTCACTAACGAGCACTCGGTGCGTAGTCGTAGTCAAATGTTTGTAGCAATGAAACTGTGCATCTTCGAGTTAGCATGATTGCTTGCAGAGGTACACTTGCTACGATGAAAGAACAGATCGCCAAGGAAGAGGAGGTGTTATCATCTGTCAAAAGGCGTGTGGACGAGTTCAATGACAAAGTAGCAGCTATTGACGAACGGCGTAAACTTGCTGAAGTAAATTGCTTCGAGACCAACATTTCAAGAACTCATATGGAAATATCCATGGCGGTGTTTAAAATTACTATTCGTGAAATCTGTTAGTTTTCCAAAATTTCAATTACATTCTGAACTCTAATTAGGCAGGGTTCCACTAGAAATCCTTGGACAAATGTGTGAAATGCCTAGATTTAGGAAAACTATTGTTCTAGAAAGATCATGAAGCGGCCGTTTCCGTTCTGAAGAAATTCGAAAAGGAACTGAAAGAGTACGATAAAGGTATTAAAGCTCAACAGGACAAGGTGGACGCTACAAACAAAAAAGTCATCAAACTGGTCGGAGTTTTGGGACTTTGATGGTTGAAGTTACAGGAATTCAATATGTATAAATTGTTCTAGAAATCTAAGCAATCATCGTTGGAGAGTGATAGTGAGAAAGCTAAAGAAGACGCTGTGGCATACAAGAAAATGGTAGTTTTTCATAGGCTTTTGGTATCAGTCTTTCCTATATTTTGTTTCGGAACAGAAAGTTTAAACTGAAATATTGGGTAAACCTTTTCTAAATTATATGAGCAAACGTTACTATTTTAGGCTCAACAGAAAGCTAAAGCTCATCCATGGATTGCCGATGAAAAGGAGCATTTTGGCGAAAAACGTACTGAATATGACTTCACGGGGTAGCGATGTTTTCGTTTCAATTTTGCTGTTTGGTGTTTCTTACTAATTATTCATGTAGTTTATTTTCATGTTCTTAAAAGACTATCAAAAATAAAAGACAGGTGGAAAACGTAGTCTGATGAGTAGAGAACAAGCACCACATAACCCTCTGCACTTCTTTGATGCATAGGCGAATGGAAAGTAGAGGCAAAGGTTTCAGCAGCAACATCCGAGAAGTTTTGGAAAGAAAGAAAGTTCTAGACTCTCCACTTTTTGCGCTATATTAGTCATTATCGTGTAAAATCTAAAGTAAGCTGGTTACATGTGTTTTACCTTGCTTCATCTAATTATATGAAGAGGACAGGAGTACTGTATAGTTTTTCTTTCGGCAAATAGCTAATGATGCATTGCTGATTTATGCAAGTTGATTTACAAGGCTTTGCATCAATAATAGCTTGCCAGGCACTATTTACTATAATGTGGATCGAGACTTCTTTTTGTCATGTAGGATTATGCGAGCAGTTTTTCACCTAGGTACACTCAAGAGAAGGCAACTAAGGATATCGCAGATATGAAAGCTAGAAAGAACGAACTGGGAAAGAATTTGAATACACGCGCAATGGGTGTGCTTTCACAAGTTGAGGAACAGGTCTGCTTTTATATCCCTATGTATTTACTTGTTTGATTGCTGTTTTGAAATGTATTTTTCAAATTTATAGACCCGGGGCAACTTTATCGATTTCCTAGACGTAGTGGTGCATGTGTTATGAAGAAACAAGAAATCTACTGTATAATTGTCCTTTAGTTGTTCGAAATTCTTTAATTTAGTAGGTGATGTTCTTTAGTCGTATTAATGTTTTTTTAGGTTCTGAGTTTGAAGCAGAAAAAAGAGCAAATTGATATCGACAAAAGGAAATTGCTTGACACCATCGCGTTACTCGACATTAAGAAAACGCAGGAAATTCACAAGGCGTACACGCAAGTTAATCGAGTAAGGACAATGTTTCTAATGACTCCTTGTTTCGGGATGGAGAATCTACAGCGAAGTTTTACAGTTCCTTTTAAAAATATTGTTACTTTAGGACTTTGGAAATATTTTTTCTACATTGTTACCCGGTGCTTCAGCTAAGCTTGAACCACCACCTGGAAAGACAGTGGAGCAAGGACTCGAGGTTAAAGTGGCTTTTAACGGAAAATGGAAAGAGTCTTTGCAGGAATTATCTGGAGGTGTTTTTTATCGCATATAGGTTTCTATGAATGACACGTGATATTTTTGAGTTACTGATGAGCGTTAACAACAATCACAAAGGGTGTGTATAGGGATTAATGTTTGTCCTACATACAAAGTGAAATCCTGCATGGAGGTTATTGTTTTAAAATGTGAAAAGCATAGAATATGTCCAAACCTACTCCGCTAAATCCATTCTGCTATATCGATAGCCATCCTATCACAGAAATTGTATCTGTCGTGGTCCGGAAAATGCCATCTTTCAAATAACAGTTTTGAGAAATGAAGTTGTTAGGACGATTCTATTCGTCAGAGGTTTTGTGATATAGAAGTTACTAAAACATCTACGCTTAGACGGCTTTTTGTATGCCGCTAATATGCATTGACACTGCTCATGACACATGTCGCGCACTGCTCTTGAGAATCACTCGTCGTGGCGAACAACGTGTTAATCCGCTTAGGTTTTCGTCTTAATTGATTAATGCTTGCATTATTAGTACAAAAATTTCAGGCCAACGTTCACTGGTCGCTTTGTCATTGGTGTTAGCTATGCTAAAGTTCCGACCGGCTCCTATTTACATTTTAGACGAAGTCGACGCTGCTCTAGACTTGTCACATACACAAAACATCGGACTTATGATTAAGAAACATTTCACTACCAGTCAGGTTTGTTCATATCTAGTATGTATATATATATATATATATATATATATATATGTATACGACAAAGAGTTTAGTCCCAAGGTTTATCTTCCTAGCTTTTCAACTTCGAAAAAAAAACCGAGCTTATATTGTACTAGACCTTAACTTAGGGTCAACATTCGACTTTTTTTTTAGAAGCTACCGTCTTAAGTAACGAAGTGGTTAAAAAAGCGGCATTCCATTCTTCTTATCTTGCGGCATCTTGTGCGCGACTGCATCCTGGGTGTCGATGACTGCCGCATTTTTGTTGAAATGTTACTATTTTCTGTGTTAATTAAGGATTCGTATTAAGGAAAATTTATTGGTGAATAGGCAGTAATATGAGTAATAATATTGTAAAGAATAACAAAAAACGAGGTTAAGAATTAAGGATACTATGTCAGACAAGTTGTGCATATCGGCAGATCGATAGGGCAAGTTCTATTCAATAACTTGCTCGTGTCCTCAAGCACTTAGCAGCTGCGAAATTATCGCTGGTTGTCGAAAACACGTACAGTGAAAAAATGCTAATGACTGGAAATTATATGGGGGTTTTGTCTGTGTACGAGATGATCACGTCCTCTCTCGAAGCAATTGGATTATTCACCTGCAGAGAGCTTTGCTTGTTTGCCGTATTTTGTCGCTAAAACAACGAGTTAGAAGGTCCATAATTCAAGCGTGCAAAAGTGGGAACATTAGGACTTTTGCTCATTTCAAGGAGTGCGTCGTACAGAGTTTAGTAACACAACAAGCGATATCTCATTGGAGAAGTTCTCAAGGGGAAGAAATAAATTACCACTGTGCATGTAAATTTATGCAGCGAGGCAACAGAAGTGAATAATGGGAGAGAATGTTGTTAGTGAGACTACAACGGTGTGAAAAATCTACGTAATATCTCTAATAATGTGCCTAGATGCAATATCGCTGGGGTCACATTACATTTCCATAACATTCACAAACTGTAGAAGGACATTTGACCCTTAGCAAATACAATATTATGCGGTGCGGATACGCTCTTCCACCTCCTCAGGACACTCGCTCTTTGATCGTTTGTGGTGACCCGTCCTTGCCCTGTGAAACTTAAACACCCTCATTCATTTGTGGTCATTCATACTGAAAGAAAAGATGTGGTTAATCAGGTGCTGTTGTTCATGCTGGTTGTTGATTCCATTTAAACTAACAATTAATCTAATAGTTCCTCTCTTTGTGAGGAAGTCATGAACATTAATCACGTATATATTTTGCATGGTGTCATCAAAGTATTAAAAGTCATTGAGAAAACTTATATATTTTCTTACCTGTATTCGGTTGAATTCTAATGTTGGGTTTTGTGGAAAAACCACTAACTTAGTCGAAAGTGTATAGAAGTTTGGATGGATCGACTTGCCAATCAAATCAGACGATAAACAATTTAATCCTCTCCGCTCGACTGCTCTCTTTTGGCTTCCATTCAACATACATAGATCAAAATAAAAACAAGGAATGACCAGCTTTCACTTTGAGTAGAGGGAGGTTTTTGTACAATATTAGTGTTTTCGCAACATAACCTGCCATTAAGAAGAAAAAGGCAGTAAATAAAAGAGTTAAGATTGTGATTATAACTAAGCCTCAGCTTAATTGGGTTCAATGCCGATATTGGCTCCCCAGATCAACCCCGTTGACGGGTGATTGCTGATGGCAAAAAAGATCGATAGAAGTAGCTGAGATACACGCAAAGCAAAGGACCCGGATGGTGTAGTGGTGAAGTGCGCTGCTCCCCGGTAAGGACAACAGCGCGTGTTCGTTCTCCACTGCATACACCTGTGGTCCGGAGTTTTGCAAATATCTCAGCATTTCATACGAGTTATATTTCGCAGCATAACCTGCCATTAAGAAGAAAAAGGCAGTAAATAAAAGAGTCAAGATTAGTGTTTGTGTTTCGATCGTATCTGAAAAGTTGCTCATAGAATTAAGGGTTATTCATATAGTTCTTTCTAAGACTTTCCTGTCTCCAGTTTGTGTTGTATGGGCAGTAGAAAATCAAAGGTTGTCAAACATGGTTCAGTGTTAGGGGTCGTATCATGTCTAAGCCCATTCGCGAAAATGCGCATTGTTTTCAATGCAAGCGAAGCGGAAAGTGATTTGGTCTTTCAACTTGGAACAAACACTTCTCGACTGATGCTGAACTTTGTCAATCAAAATGGGAATTAGTATGGCCTAATTTTTACTAACAACACGTAGGTCCTCTTTTTGTTTTGTTTTCTTGCTGTACTGATCTTCCGGGTGCGTATAGCACAGTGCTGAAAGCTGCACTGCAATGCTATCGTCGTCATTAATTTGACCACTCTGTATAGGATAATGAATCTCCTTCCTCTGTCTTACAGTCTCCGGAAATTGGTGAGAGGTTTGTGTTGAGAGATAAAAACACTGACTTGATACATCGGTAGGACACCGCGAAGCTATTACGTACTTCAAATATGCATTTAACCTTCTCTACAATAGTTGCTGAAGTCGGATGCACCTCCAAAGGGTTCATCGAAGCTAAACGCTTTATCCCTATTCTTTGATTTCTCTTCTCAAGTCCGCATAATGTTTTTCTTTTTCGCACTTCCTCATTGGAGATCGTGCCATCAGTTGGACCCGTTGGTATAAAAAATCTGTCTTTATATTTGCGGCAGCTGGGTTTTGTCTATAATTTTTAAGCATCCGATTTTTGTTCTCTGTTTTCGAAAATTCCAATTTGAGTAAGTTTAAAATGAAGGTAGAACTTTAGCAAAATTATGTACCTTAATTAGGAGCAATTAGGCATATCCACAAGTCGGTCGTTTTCTCAATTCCCTCATTTGCTGCACATGTCGAAAAATTGTTCGCAGTTATTGAAGAAAAACCCGTGCTGTCGCCCATATCGATTCGTTTCTTGTGGATATGGACAAGAAGCGTTCCATGTAATAATGTGCGCATCTGCGACATTTGATACGGCTGGGTAGTCAGGTAGCGGATGAAACTTGGTCCATATTCAACCATATTTCTTAGCTAACCAGGCTACTGTAATCTTCACTAGCAGAATTCGCATAAGTTGGCCATTGGAAACAAGAGGGATCTGCAGTGCACTACTGTCCTTCTAAAAATACTCTTCGTTTACTTTAATTATTTGATTTTTTTAAAATGAATCCCATCAATCAAAGTCGATGAACGTTTCATTTTGCAGTTCATTATTGTCTCACTGAAAGAGGGCATGTTCAATCATGCAAATGTGCTTTATCGTACGAAATTCTCTGATGGAACGTCTCAAGTTGTTCGAACGAATAACAAATCGTGAATATCCTATATAGGTCCTGTAAATGTATAATCTGTACGATCTGTTATTATTTATTCCTTTTCACGTTTTGTATATTTTTAAATTCTCCAAACAAGAACTCTTTCATTTCGTCCCATTTCCCTTCTGGTGTGCTTTTTACGCAGTAAACTTCCGAGAAGCTTATGTCCTCTGTTTAATGAACTTAGTGAAGAAGCACTTTTTTTGAAATTTCATGTTCTATCTAATGTTAGAATTGAAGTGAATTGGATAAATTGTTCCAATGGGACTTTCTTGTTGCATTCTAATTGTACTCAATTAAGACGTTACAATGGAGTCTCTATGAGGGCCATGTTACGAGCACTCTGAAGGAGAAGTAGCTAAGAGGAGGCGGTAGTTCAGGTTATAAGTAACCATGAGGAGAAGTTTAAACGCACCATGAAATCCACTGTATCTGTCCTAGCGTAAATATTTACTCCCTGGTAATATCATAACATATATGTATGTATAAATATATCACAAGTAAAGATTTCACATGACTAGAAAAAGGAGACTTAGAAGTTAAAAAGGAAGTGCCATATGGAATTAGAATAGATTTGTCTAGCTTAAATAAAAACAATAATACACAAAAAGAAACTGTTCCTGATTTTTAACAAGAAAAAAGAACCGACATATTCTTTACATGTGAGCTTAGCTTTCCCATTAGGAAAATAACAGTAGAATATCTAGAGTGGGTAGAACAGATAATCCTATGTTTCCCACTACCATGGTTTAGTCCCGTATCACAGTGCCTTCGGTATAGAAGTTGAAGCTCGTTCTTACTATTGAGGAGATGTTCGTGGTCGAGCAATTTGTAAGAATAACCGGACACCACTGGCTTTTACGAATGTCACTGCAGAAAGCTGAAATTTTTAAGTGTTAAATACATCTGATAATTCTAATACTAATCCCTTTCTCAATTGACAGACAAAATAATCGAACTATAACTCGTTAAACTGTGCGTTCCACAGTTGTGACAACACCTTTCACAAGACCTAATTATGGCGTGGATGTAGAGCCCAACAGCTGAACACAACCAAGTGTTCATTTCCTTATTCACTGCCCTGGATTCTCGTCTGCCTTCAACATCATATTCTTAAAGTGTTTCCATCGGTAATCTTTCGGATATGCGTTTCACATCTCGGAGAACACAACAGCTGTGTCTACATACACGTCGTTAACAGTCATCGCGTTTGTTGATTGCCAACGAAGTTTGGAACTATCGGATTCCCTTTGTTAGTTGCGAGAAATGAGGTACTCGTTGAATCATTATGCCGATAATTCGTTCAATAAATGCGGTCGTTCTCCCACACTGCTACTATGTACACACCAGCTACTTAATTTGGTCGTCCAAAAGTGATAGTTGTGGTCCAGGTGTAGGTTTCTTGGTCTTGTTCCCGTCAAAATACCAGCACATGTGGCACATGCTTTTTACAACCTCATTATCGACCAGTGCTGTTGCCTCATTAAGATAGATTCTTCTTCAACGCTTCTCTGAAGAGTTTTTCAACATCTAACGTCATGTCACCTAACGTTTAACGATGTTGTTGATAACGATATGTTCTAAAACCGACCAAAGTATGCTACTCCCTTAGTTCAAATTTGCAGTCACTTGGAATTTCGTTTCTCGGATCTTGAGGCTTCCTCTGAAGAAAGCGATAATCTTATTGCGGAGAGGTAGTTCAGTAGCGTTTAGGAGAAAGGGACAACAGGGACATCGATTAGGCAACTCTTTAGACGCACCATGTTGTGGTCATTGTCAGTGTGGCAGTCTCCACCAACAGACATGTGGACGGTCGAATAAGGGCTCCGAGGATTGAGAGTCACCACGAATGGTTTCGATTGCCATAATGAACTTAGACAGCCTCTAACCCTGTTTGCCCGTTCGTCTGTTACATGTTCCAATGTGGAGCTGTTTTGATGTTCCTCGCCCACGATATCTTTGCAGGACCATGTAACTCGATCCACGCCCGTCACAGCTTGATATTCGAGCGTAAACAACAAAGTCTAATAGTTCCCTTTATAAACCTAATCCATCTTAGTCTTCATAAACTTTATGATGTCTCTAGTTTCTCTGCTAATAAAAGGCTAACACTATCATGAGTTTTACCACTAGGACCATGTATAATACGTAGTTCCACCGGCGATTTCTATACTAGGTTGCATTTTGGGAATAAAAATAAAGGAGATGAACCTGATCGGTAACGGGTGAAGCATTTACGGCCAGTATTCTGTCTCCGACTTTGAGTTTCTCAGCTGCAACTGAACCGGGTTGAAGAGACGTGACGAGAATGCCCCTTGATCGTTTACCGATACCCATTCCGAGTTGTTGATCGGGAATCTAAAAGCGAATTACTACTACCACCAAGCACATTTTGCATTAGTCCTGTATACGTTTTTGAAGCGCTACGACGCTAAGACAATGTGCTTGTCAGCCCACTTCTGTGCAAGGACAATTAAGTGCTGATTTCTTTGTGACGACGTCAGATTTTACATACCTTATAACCGATTTTTACTTTTGCTAATGTTTTAATAGGAGAAACATAACACGCAAAAATAGAAATTAGATTGGTGTGATGGAGATACTGGCTTTCATAATTGTAAGATTTATAAGCAGCTTTTTCAATAAATACTTATTTCGTACATAATTGCCGTATACCATTTTAAGCGTGTGTATCGCAGTGGTCGGAGGCGCTCTGCAATACCCGTCGGATCGATGCCCGCGACACTTACCCACCAAGCCTTCTATCCTTTCGAGCTCGACAAATTGGTACCAGACTTGCCTGAGAGTATAGCAGCATTGGCTCGATACATCGGCACGCCACCGCGAGTTATTGTAAAGGCCAGGTACGCATTCAGTCACCTTGAACGATGCTTAACGAAGTCGAATGCATGGCGCATTTCTCAGGGATTGATCAACCCCGAGAGCTTTATCCTTTATTCATCCCTTTACCATTTCAACCTCAGTTCTTGTTCAACTATTTGACATATGCAAATAAACTTTTATCCTCGCAAAAAACCTATAGGTCTCAATTCCTAACAAAAGACATAGAGGACGATATGGACCTACATGTCCACCAGCTGCGCTCCGAGACACTTGTATCACCGCCGTGTGGCTCATTATCTAACTGTTTGTTTTGCCGCGCAGAATGTTCACTTTTTGTAACCGTTTGATTATTATTGAAGCTTACTGAGAGTACAGTGATACAGAAAGGATCGGAGCTGAAAAGCCATCGTCTACACTCAACGACTTACAACAAGTGCCTTCTACAATGAGTTCATTCACTAGCAATTTGACTAGCTATTGTATGAGCTAGCATAGAAAATACAGAATTATTGTTATTATTGTTTTTGCTTTTTTCGTGTTATTTCTTAGCAATCGCGAGGTTATTATACAGCATACGTTAACTTCCGTACAAAGCACACAATAGAACAGCTATTGACGTTTCGGCAATATCGCCTTCTGTCCTCAAAAAAATACCGAAACACCAACACGCAAACATCTTAAGGCTTTCTGGGTAAATGCCAAAAATCCTAGAATGAATGGCAGGAGGAATGCTCAAATGTCACACGCGATTTGGCTCCGTAGCTTTTCACTGACTTTTGATGTGGGATGGTGCAGTCATCAACCATATGCGGACTCTAATCAGCGGCTCTCCCTAAGTGGAAAGCATATAAAAACGGCGGGTTTTCTGAGAAGCTGCTGATCATGTGATTGCCCTTAATAACTCAAAAGACCGACTATCTATAAACCTCGACATAGACAGTTGCTAGCAGCAACGACAACAAGAACGGCAACGAAGATCTATAGCAACCTTGCTGGCTAAACAAGATCAGTTTATAAGATCATATAAAAAAGGATGCTATTGCCACTTAGATTTATATGTTTCTGTTTGTGTTATTGAAGTGTTTGGCCTAGTAAACTGCATATCAATACAGCTTCCCAGGCACTGAAGGGGGTACTGCCGAAACGTCAACTACTGTTTTGTCGTATGTGTTTTGTAGGGGAGTAAACGTATGCTGTATAACAACCTCACGATTGCTAGGAAAGAAAGCGACGTATTTATAATCTAATACCGAGGTTAGCAGAAAGTCGAGCCTGAGAATTATTATTCTTATTGTTGTTATTATTATTTACATGATCTGTCATCACATCTATTGCGCGTATCTCAGCACTTCTTGCATTCTATTTGCTTCCCTCGCATCCATCGCCGAAAAACGTCTTCGAATATTTCACGTCTAATTCCGGCTATTGCATGAGAACTTCTTCTTTCTTACGAATATCGTAAAATGCTGGCCGAGTCGATTCTCCCTGCACTCATGGAGACAGCCAAGCTAGGGTTCTCCTACGCGGATTGAGAGAACGCGTACGATTGGAAGCCAAACCAGAGCCTGCTTCCTTATGGACTGCATCACCACAATTCCACTATCCATCGGCTCGAATTAAATCATTCTCTAAGAATTAAGCGGGCGAATTGCAGTGGTTCACATAGTCGCTGGTTGGATTCCTCTGCGTAGTCAACAAAGTGGCACAAAAATTGTTCAATAAAAGATCCCTGAAAACCAAAAAACCCGGCGATTGCATTGGTGAAAGTAAGCAAATACTCAGTGGTCAGAGAGGCACTCCAATACACATGGGATCGATCCCAGCGCCACAGGCAGGCTCACCAAGCCTTCTATCCCACTGGGGTCGGAAAATTGGTGTCAGACTTGTCTGGTAGGAAAGCAGTACTGACTCGATATATCGGTAGGCCACCGCGGTTCATTATAAAATCCAGATATGCATTCAATCACCTCTAGCAATGTTTAGTGAAGTCGGACATTTGGCGCGTTCCTGAGGGATTGATTAAAGCCTCTATACTTTGTTATTTAAGGAAATACTCCATCAAAACGATGTAAGTGTTAGGAAGAATAACGCTCAATCAGCATTAACCGAAATTCATGAAGGCAAAATCAGTTGGCAGCTGAACTTACATGTAAATGCGACGACGTTTTTAACGGTGATCGCTAGACAACGAACCAAATGAAAAAGTGCTAGGGTCTAAATCACGTGCGAAGTCGGGTTATATAAATGAATAAATTTAAAGCAGTGCTTGGCGTATTAAGCGTATTCTTATGGACCGTAGTGAAGTCAAGGTTTAAATTCACGTCTTTGATCTGGTCTTTCACATACAATCATTTCTTGAAGTTTTTGAATTCGCTTTTTAAAGGCTTAATAGCGTCGGTTGCTTAGATTTTATTCATTCAGAGACCACTTCACAACCATTTGCAGCATGTCTACCCTCATTTCGTGTGGCTTTCGATGTCAGGATTACTTTTTTTTAACTTCTCTAAACATTCTGTAACACCTCCCAACGGTTTACCGCCTCATCGTGGCTGAGAGGTGTTTCTGGGTGTGGGGCTACGATGTACAGCATGGAGATTCATCCCTCCAACAGGGCATACGAAGATAAGAAGAATTCCGGCATTTTCATTAGGAGGCCCAGCTAGAGTAGACCAATAAACAGGATCCACCACCGTCTTCGTATCAAACTAGTCCCTTGGTTGCAAATCTCCTTTTGATCCACAGGAGCGGCAACTGCCTGTCGTGGTGACGACCTGGGGCAGACTTTTGGCCAGGCTGTCCTCGCAACTCCAAGGAACCACAATGGCTAAACAAGCAAATCTCCGGGGAATGGAAATTATGTTGAGACCCGCATAACCAGTGAAAACATCTAAATGTCCAAGTAAGTAAGTAAACATTTTGCATTCAACATCAAAGAAAATCACCTATTTGAAACATCGAAAACAAAGCATTTTTTCTGTCGAACGTTTGCATCTATTGCTTTAGCTTTGGTATTCCTGGAGACTATCAATGAATCAATCAGCAAATTTCTTCTAATTATGATTTAATTTCGTAAAGACTGCCGTGAAGATTGGATGACATGTGAGATTGGCATGAAACACTATTCGGAGCAGCTCTCACAAGATGAGCAAGTCAAGATCCCGTGTACGACAACTCTCCATCACATGTAACTCCGACAATTTTGCAGTAGATATTGGGTGGAATAACGGTCAAAAATCATACATGCTAAGCCATGCGGCGAATGTTTTTCTTTTCGAAGCTCTCTTCTCTTCGTTAATTTCAACTACTTCAGAATGGGGACTAGAACAGTCCGCCGCATTCCAACAGAAATTTACCTCTGCTCGACCAGTAAATACAAATAATAAATTGCACTATGATTCAGTAGCAGATTGAAACAAAATCTTGATGAAATAGAGTTGAAAACCAAAGAAGGGGAGCCTCCCATTAGATATTCGACAAACCAATGCTAATTAAATAGGAAGTGTTCTGGACCTCACCCCCACCTCCCATTATTCCTAAGGATTGGTTGTTTGCAAGTATATAGGAAGGCTTATATTTTATGATACAATTGTGTAAACAATTTCAAAGAGAACCATCTGTTTGACATATGGAAGAAAATACTACTGCCGAAGTAGATGAATAACTTGGAAGTAACGTTTGTAACTTGTGAAACCCACACCCGTTAACATCCATACGCTACCTTTTTGAGCTCAAACAGCAATGTGTCGCTTCCTTCTTCATTCAAATCCGGCAATAGTTCCACGCCCTGCGAACCACGATCTTCTTCTGTCAAGCTTCGCTGTGATGTACAAAACCATTTACATACAAAATTGAATGAGAAATCGAACCAAAAGGTATTTAAAGGTTAAAAGGTAGGTAAGGTAAAAGGTATTTAAGGACTACTCAATCACGGGTGAACATACCATATCGGCACCGCTACTTGGCTCTTCCGTGACTGGGGAAAGATGCGCATCTGAATCTGCAACAGCTTCTCTTTCTGGAGAAGTATGAGTGATGAGTGGCCGAAGCGGAGGTGCTGGTGAGGGGACATCCCAGCGTTCCGACAAACCTGATTGTCGTGACTCCTCTGTCTGAACGTAGTGATTCAACTAGAGCAAAATCAAATTTAAAAAATGTGAAACTGAATTTGGCACAAGTGAAAATAAACCCTAAAAATTCCAATGTAAATGTAAAAATAAATACTCTGACATGTTTTACGTTCCACACAAAAAAATTGTTAACTGCCACCATAAGGATGCCGAGACTATAATCTTAACCTTTTATTTGCTGCCTATCATAATTTTTCATGGCAGGGTATGATGTAAAGTACAAGCACAACGATGCTGAGATATTTACAAACTTGAACTCAGGGTTAGCGTTAGGTAGAAAACTTGCTGAGAGAAACACAAATTAAGACCTTCCGTGGTCAAGAGTGTAACATTCGAGTCCATGGAAAGAGTAATCGTAATTAAACCTGGCCCGGGGTCCAAGTTTTGCGAATATCTCAGCATCGTTGTGATTGAGATATAAGAAAAACGTGAAATAGATATAGTAAAAAATTGGCTTGAAGGAGAGCAAAGCAAGAGCTTTGGCTGATTTGATAAGTACGTAGTATGAGCAACTCCGGTAAGGGTAATTGTAGGTTGGAAGCTCAATTGAGCTTCCGAGTTTTGCTCATATCCCAGCACCCTTGTGGTTGTTTCTCACATCGTACCCTGTTATGAAAAAAGAACAGAGAGTAAATAAAAGTTAAACCATGTTAGTCACCTAGCTTAAAAATATAAGGAACTACTAGTTAAACTTGTGCACGGGTCTCCTTAAGCGAGCATTGTGACCACACTTCGCAAAGCACGTCACAATCGCAAAAAGAAATCGTCTCAGAATGTTCGTTGTTGCTCTAATTGCAATCCAAAGTAGACTTTTTCGGGTTCATAACTGTTTTCGAAATATTAGAGAATAGCTATACACATGCGGTTCCCATTTCCATCCTTCAATTTTTACATAACGTTAATGCCTGATACGTTACGAGAAACGCATAGGAACATTTTCTTATGAAAGACTCGTTGTAAAATGCTGCACGTGCATGATACGAATTAAGTTCACTTTTCTTTAGCAAATAAATAGATCGTCTTAGAGAAACATAAATACCCGTAGATTAGTGTGTGACTTGGCGAGTGCAGCCTCTGCAGCTGCATGAACTCGGTTTGCCGTCTCGGTGATCTTCCAGCGTCCAACCTGAACGATACACCTATGTTATTCCGCCTGTGCTGCCGATAAAAATTCACTGATTCAAACTTGTTATCCTTTCATTTCTTGATTTACAAAAATTGTTGGGATATTTTTAATAATTCAAGGCACAATCGAGATATTAGATAGATTATGTTTGCTTAAATAGAAAAATTCAATAGCGATAAAATTAAGGAAAGGAAGAAAGAAGCGCGTATAATTTTCTTTCTTTTCTCCCTCCAAACGGTTTACCGCCTCATCATGGATGGCAGATGTTCCTGGGTGTTAGGCTACGATGTACAGCGCAGGGATTCATTCCTAAGCAGGAACACTCAGGCTGAGAAGGAGTACGGCGCCTCCTTCAAAAATCCCTGCTAAGTAAAAGTAAACCAATACCAAGATCCACTACCGTCTTGGTGTCAAACTAGTCGAATGGTGAGTGCCAAATCTCCCTCTCATTCACAAGAACGGCAACTGCCTGTCGTAGTGACGACATAGGCCAGACTTTGACCAAGCTGACCACGGGACTCCAGGGAGCCACAACGGCTAAATCAGCAAAATTCCGAAACAACTTAAATTTTGCTGGGGCCAACACGACGGGCTATCCAAGTATTCAAGTCCTTCACTTTCAATCTATATTGATGCATATTTCGAAACCGACTTTCCTTGAACCTCGGTATCAATAATCAATATGTATTCTTTCTTTGATGAGCTGACACGAGGCTGATAATGATATTTATTCATTTTCGGATAACGTTTCGACGTCTTCGTCTTCCTCAGAGCCGATGATCCGAGTTGATGGTCCATGCTTGTTGTTCGTCTCGACGTTGCAGCTTCGCCTTCGTGTCGAGTAAGGTCTTCCTCAGTGAGCCATCTTCTCGAATGAGGCATCCTCACTCAGTGATGCCCTTTTATACACGTTGCTAATGGTGGATATAATGATAATGTCCGGTGGTAACAAATTGTATTTCTTACGGACATACATCGTTGCGCACATCGTGCAGAAGTCGGTGTTTTTATCAGCTAGCACAAAGCGTAGTAATATTTCGAAACCGACTTTCCTTGAACCTCGGTATCAATAATCGATATGTATTCATTCTTTGATGAACTGACACGAGCATCGTGTATAAAAGGGCATCACTGAGTGAGGATGCCTCATTCGAGAAGATGGTTCACTGAGGAAGACCTGACTCGACACAAAGGCGAAGCTGCAACGTCGAGACGAACAACAAGCATGAACCATCGACTCGGATCATCGGCTCTGAGGAAGACGAAGACGTCGAAACGTTAGCCGAAAATGAATAAATATCATTATCAACCTCGTGTCAGCTCATCAAAGAAAGAATACATATATTGATAGAATTTAAATTATTAACTTACACTTTCCTGCGCTTTCACAATTCTAATCTATGGTTTATTGTAAGCATTTTATAATAGCTAAGTAGCTAAGCAAATTATTTAAAAAAGTGACATGAAGCAAAGGAGGATTTCTATAATATTTCGCTACTCTGTTCTATAAAGCTACGATAGCTATATCTATGTCTTGCTAGGTGAATCTCTGGTTCAGTACGTTCAGATATTGCCCTTATCCAGAATAATTCTCACTACTTCTCTTTAATAAAGCAGTAACTTTTCGATCACTTGCTTATCAGCGAAATGAATCGAAATCGACAAACCTTAAGGCAAACGCGTCCGACACAAGTTTTCAGCATTGCGGCCACATCTTCCTGCATTGAGTTCGCTACATCTTGGCCATTCACGGCAAGAATCTGGACAACGGCTATTACAGATGAGCTAGGCAAACTTCCAGATTTCTTCCAAAGTACCTGGTCACCCGTCATTAGCCGGTTGTCCGCTTCAGCTGCACCTCCTTTCACCACTTCACTCACGTAAACGCCTGGTTCGTTCTTGCGACCCACTAAAATTCACAGAATTTTGTTTAGAGTCCTTATTAAGCAACGTTATAAACATATTATGTAGGAATCTACGTCGTATTCACAAAAGAAACAAATCAGCCAATCGATCCATTGGCCGATATTAAGGCGATATGAAGACAACCGTGTAGTGAAATATCTATAGAAAATTCATCTTCTTCCTTTCTTTGAACGTAAAGGTGATGTGAGATAACATATGAGAGCCAAACGAAGTTAAAAATTTTCTGTCAATAGGGAGAAGACTATTAAGGGTGATCTATTAGGAAGAAAATCAAGGACAGAATAACTAGAATAACTAGTCAATTGGATTACAAGGCGTCGAACTCCAAAAAGAAGTTCGACCAACAATGATCTATTCATTGTTAAACCAAACATAGGTGATAATCTTTACCAATATTTAGATGGTGCTCCCAAAGAGACTTGTTCCGATCGGCTTGTTCTATGACTCACACTCGATTTATCACACCTTGTCGGAAAAAAGTTGGAAGGCTTAAATGCTTGCTTAGTCGCTATCATGCAGATTGAACGAAGAATAAAAGGGTCCTTGTCACGAGGTCTAGTCTGCGCTTTTTTATGTAACAAAACAATACACTTCAATCATACTGTGATGCACCATGAAAAATGAATCCTACATGTGACAACAGAAGATGAGATCCAGAGCAGTGATCAGACCGAGATAAACACCCTACAAACTTCTCAGAACCGAGTTTGCACGGAAAGATGACTATAGCTTGGTATGTTTTTGAAGCCGGACTAATCCAACCGAATTTTCAAATAACAGAGGAGACGATTACAACAAAGTGTAGAATCGCGAAATCAATGAAACAGATCAAAAGCTGCGGCCTGTATAGTTAGGATTCGTGAACAGAAAAAGTGCGACCCCCTGCATAACAATTCCGGACCATACGTTTCATACCTATCGCTGCATAAATCGAACAAATTAGGCTACAAATCCAGCATGTTGCTTCCGGCGTAATCAATGGACGTCTCGTCAGCAGAGTACCACTTTTGAATCACGACTACAACCGACTCATAGCACTTCGAAGATATCGTTACTTCAGCATCAACCTAGTAGAAAACGTGAATGTTGTGCATTAATTCCCCACTATCCATGTAAATGCTAAGTACAGCTGCCTACTAAGAATGAAAAACTGACTTAATTGCCAAGTCCAGACGATCATAGGGAAACAGCTATTACAATGAGAAGGTTTCAAAATGAATCAAAGATGGCAGAGTAAAGAAAACTTATAAAATCACTTAACTAGACGCTTTAATGTCTGTGTTAAACATATTTTACTTTATCGAATTTACCTATCACAGGAAGAGCAAATTGTCCCAAGCACCCTGTACAAAAGAGGAACCGAGACGGGATGGCCTTCGAAGTACCATCCGATTTGGTTTTGAATAGGTGCTGCTCGCTAAGCCTTGACCAACAACTCCTCGTCCCATAAGAAAATTCAGTAAAATGAAAAAGCTCGTAAGGATTAAGCGATGAGTTTTGTGGAAGAATTAGAGAGAAACGAGGAGTTTTCTAGAATTCTAAAGAGAAGGAAAGAGAGCGGCGACCAACCTGAAGTATCCGTTTCGTAACAATATTTCAAGCCGATAACAATGCCGCTGATAAGCTGATAAGCTCTGTGCTATCTCTTAATGATGTCGACTTCTGCAGGGTGGATTTTCCGGAGGAAAACAAGTTATTATCACCAGACAATCACTATCAACAACAACACCACTCCTGTATAAAAGGCCACCGCCGATTGATATTCCCCATACGGGCGGTGCTCTCCCCACTAGATTCGATTCGATGCGAGAACGAACACCCACATCGAGAGTGCGAATTGCTGTGAGCTGTCGACTCGGATCATCGGTTCTGAGAAAGATTAAAACGTCGAAAAGTTGGCCGAATAACTTTAACATAACAAGTTATTTATCAGTCTCTGTTAGCTTATCAATAAAAGAATATATATGTATATCCACTTTGTTTTCAGTTCCTGGATTGGGCCATGTTTGACGCGCTCTAGCGCCGAGACATGACATAATACGTAAAACAATTTTGCTTCCTTTGCTAACGAACAAACACACAAAAATTGAGGAAGAGCTGTTTATGTATTTGCGTATTATTTTCGACCATTACGCAGCAGTTCTATAGCAACTATTAGATATTTTTGTGAGAAAAAAACGGTTCCGCAAAAAGTCATTTTGTTGAGGGTCAAATCACCCACCAATGCTCAGTCCTAGCCCACGTCCGGGTTTCTTCACTAATTCAACTTCAAATATGTTGTAGATCTGTGTGGGGTCAAGCAAGCTCAGCTGTAGATTCACGTCTCGATAAATGAGAAGTCGAACCTTAAAAAGAACTTCAACGGCAGCTAGCAACGCATTCATAGTGTTCAAGAGGGTTACCTTCGGAGGCGTTCGACGTAGGGCAGAGATCGCTTGGTCATGTGTTACGCTACGAAGCGAAAAATTGTTGACCTAAAATAAACTCTGCTCCGTAAGCGAACCAAAAAAATTATTCGAAAAGAGCATTTCCACCAATTATTGGAATTACTTGATAATCTCATACGGGAAACCACGTTAGAGTAAACGACGAAAAGCCAATTAGGCAAAACGTCGACTATCGTTTATGAATGAACATATTTGAAAGGACGTCACCGCAATTTGCTTCCTTCCACAAACATCTAATCGCAGGTCTAATGAAATTTGGCGTTTCGCATAAACTAAACCTCTAAGAATTCAATGAAGTGATTAAATATTGTCAATCAGTCACAAGGATGCAGAAATATAAGCGAAACTCACAACCTCAGTTGAGCTTCGAACGAGCGATTACCCTTTCCGGGGGTCAAGTGCTATCCACCATGTTAACTAAGGACCTTGCTTTGACTTCCTCTCAGCCATTTTTGTAATCTACCGATGCTATCAGCAATCATCCATCAACCAGGAATGATCTGGGAAGCGTAAATCGACATTGAGCTCAGTTGAGCTGAAGTTGTAGTCGAAATCGCAATGGCTTAAATCTTAAAGTAGAAAGTTAAAACAAGGCTGAGAGAAAGGCAAAGCAAATAGGGTATGGTGTATAGCACCTGAGTCCCTTTAGGGGTAATCATAGGTTCGAATCCTAATTGAGATTCCGAGTTTTGCTCATTCCTCAACGTCCAGGTAACAAAAATGAAATTTAAGTAACAATAGAAATGAAGAGCCATAATTAACACCTTTAGCGAGTACCACCCTGACTAGCCAACAAAGAATGAGTAAAAGAAGACTCGTGTGATACTCAGCAATAGCCAACTGATATTATAGTTAGATATAAGTGTGCGATAAAATCAGACAATATAGAACTAACATCGCACGAAAACAGCTCAACCTTCCTTTTTCAATATCCTAAAGATCACAGTACCACTTCTAGTTCAATTTCTTAAAAAATATGTAATCATCGTAAAATAATATCTAATATTTAGGTATCGTACATCGCTTTTCAGTGGCTGCTTGAGAAGTCTAAGATTCCATTCCACCAGTGAAAAAACGTACGCTATTCGGTGTTACACAGGCCATGGTCGATTAACCGAAGACTTCAAATAACCAAACTCCACCTTCACATCAAATCCTTCACAATGTCAATTTCGTCCACTTTCAGTCCCAACTTTACGATCTATGATTCGTAATCTATTGTTCGCACACATTCAACGATATTCGAAGTAACCTCGACGAAGATATCTTGCCGGATCTTGCAAAGAATCGTGTGTGTTGCAAGGCGGCCCCGACCACTGTGCCACACGCTCCCGTTTTTCACCACATCACCAAGAAGAAATATGGGAAGTTAGGATAGAATATTATCATGACAAAGATTGCTAAGCAACAATTATATTTATGCCTCTGTGATGACAATGTATCGGTCGAGGGTGCGAAATTTGGCTGACATTCATCGAAAGTGTAGAGAGGAACTCTCTGACTGACTATTACAAAGACAATCTTCATGAAAGACAGACTAACACTAAATGCTCCATTTATGTTGAAATGAACGACCACAACGTAAGCCTCAAGTACATTTACGCAGGTCTGTAAGTGAAAATTTACCAACAAATGAGAGCCATAGTATATTTTTCACTCATTTCCTTCCCTCGCGATTGCAGTCTATGAGGATGATCCGATTCTAGCAAAGCGACGTGTCCTTGTCCTATTCTCATTCTGCCAAGAAATAGCAGCTAACAGCTGTTTGTTGATGAGAACCACGACGTCTGAACTATGCAACTAGGTTACGCATTCATTGAATTTCCTTATCCTCAGCAAATGCATGGGTGAACCTCTGTTGATCCACCAGATCCGTTCTGAGATACGGGAACCAACAACCATGTCTGCACTGTAGGACACCTCTAACCACTGCGCTACAGACGTAAAACCCCCCTGCAAATTTACGCCTGTCATTCAGGCGTGTTAAATGTGTTCTACTATGGTGAAGACATAGTTTCTTATTCTTAAACAACTTCGTAATCATGGTAAAGAAGTTATTGAACTTCTTCATCGAGGTAGTGAGCAGTGCGCGCAAAACTACTAAGTCCTTCGAGTAGCAGCGGATGGTTTTCGTTCGGCCATTCCTTAACTTCCAAGTCATATAGGGAAACAATTTTATCCAGAATATGCTCACTTCTCACCCATGAATGTATTGGAAAATTATTGAAGAAGATAAAAAATTTCAAGAATTGTATCCAGCTTTTCAATCTCAACTCCTATGGTCCTTTGTCCCTTTACATATTCCTTGCAAACGTTGATTTTATGCAAGCTGGTTGTTACTCCAGTATACATCGCTCAGTATGCCACTCGGACTACGCCAGTTGTTAATCGAATGCAAATGAATGAATGAATTAGAAGTACGGAGCCTCGACGCCGATGAAAAATAAGAAACGGTATTATGGAAAACATAAGATTAATGATCAGGTGAGTACGACGGGTTTTCCGTATACAAGTAGTCACTGAGGAACGACTTTAGTCTAGACAATGACGGAAGGTATTGAAAGGAATGCTTTCAATTCGATGTACGTTCATATCTTTGTTTGGATTGGAAAAGTCCATCAACATAAACCGCGTGATCGCTTGCGCTCCATGAATGAGTTGATTTTTATTCGAACCACAGAGAAAACAGACAATATCACCATTGTGTGAGCTTAGAACAAGTGCATCCAGAACATTTCCAGAAGAAAATCTCGAAAAACGGTTGGTTCGTTTGCTGCAACAAGTGGATAAAATTCTACTGAATCTGCATAGTGAAATCGTTCTTACTATCTATAAGTGAAGAATGCCTGTACTGAGTTATTTCCCACCGATGAAGGAAAATATAAAAAGATAAAACAAAGAATCACTAGTGATTTTGGTGTCAGCATTCTATCCTACCTCTAAAACCTGATCTCCTGGTTTCAGTCGTCCATCATGAGCAGCTGCTCCGTCTGGATAGACTTCGTGGATCACTACAGTACCCAGCACAGTGTCTGACCCTCCAACAATCGACAAACCCAATCCCTTGCCGTCCTAAAAAAGTCGCGTAGTTTTGCCGTTTTCTTTTTTTGCTATTGAGATGACCAACATTTTCACATCCACGTAAAATGGGTAAATCCACTACGTAAATACCTTATCGATTTCTATGAGAGTCTCCCGACCAGTTTCTATCGCCGTCGTCCTTTCTATGCCAAAGCTTTTCTTTCGTGTGTCTGCATAAAATATAACGATAAACAAAAAGTAGGACAAGAGATAGAAAAACTGCTAGTAAGTTTAAATTTGATGTGACATAAATTTCTTTAAGGTACATATGATATATTGAGCTCTTGAAGAAATTGACACAAAGAACACACGAATATGAAGCGGAAACAGGAATATGTTCTGATCCGCTGTAGGAGCCATATAGAGGAAAATGATGAAGCGTTACTCGCCATAATGAAACACATATGATTCATTACTCTGCCCAAAAACAAAGTAACTCATTGCACTTTGGGTGTCCGGTGATTTCGCGAACTAGAGCGCCACGTTATACGCGCTTAGTATTCAATAGCTACCTAAATTACGCTTTCAAATCGACTACTATCACTAGTAGATTGCAGCGCAACATTTTTAAATTACATTAAAGAACAATATTTGAGTAGAAATCTCAAAGTTTACTTCATAATATTTCAAAAGTGACAAATTTTAGCCGACGTCCGGAAAAGTCGAGTGCTAATGGAAGGGTTTGAAAAGGGTTTTTAGGTATATCTACTCAAAGCAAGAACTTAGACCAGGGCCGCAGTTGATGCTCTTCGACAGTACTTTGATTTCCACTGCATACAAAGTGTTAAGAGTCCTTGGCTTCAAATGGAGAGAATGGCATATGAGTCTGAACCGCTACAAAGTGCTTCTAGTACACAAAGTACACACACACACACACACACACAGAGCTTTTATGCATCGTAGAGAAGGCAGGAATGAAGTATGTCTATTTTTGTTTCCAAATATATGTTGTGAAGCACACTGAAGAAAATAAATAACGGAAAAAGCATTTTAAAAGCCTGTTTTACAGAGACAAACGAGCTAAAATGGACAAAAGAAGACCATGATATTAAAATGTGTCACCTTTCAAAGAATTTGGTTCTAAATGTTAGCGCCCAGTTCGGGTACGGTATACCGAATCCCTTAAAAAGGGTGTGGAGACGAATACGTTGGCAAATCGGGTAGAGCACTCTATTTTCGTTTGGAAGAACAGCTAGCCAATAAATTTAAATTGAAACCAAACACTCCATTAGGGACACATAGGACACAGAAACATAACGGAGAAGATTTGTAATAAAGACCAATATCCTAGCACAGAAATCCGAAAAATCAGCGAGTAAAACTCTTGGAGGGTTTCGGATAGATTCCAAAAATAGAAGGATGAACCGCAAGAAGGAGTGTCTCGCGTGACTCCGCGCCATACAATAGGGCGATTTTTGACTTGACCCAAGCACACTCCTCGTTCATGTAATACTCTGTGCAGCTGCTCTCCATATAACTGGAAGATTTAGACTAATGACAATTTATGTGTTAAGCTCTATCTGCTGAGATTATGAAAAGTCTTTAGTTGAGTAGATTGTGTGTTATTTTGACAACCCCAGGCTCTGAAGAAGGAAAAAGCACCGAAACGTCAGTTTCGCTCCAGCTCAATAGCCTAGCAAAATTAAAATTACGTTAGGTAACACTAATATGGTCGGCCAAAAATACAGATACCGGTGGGGTAGTTGTAAATCACGAAGCAGCCTCAACCACGTTCCTTGCTTCAGGTAAGTAAATCAAAGTGAGGTAGGTTTCATTCAGAAGCGAACGGCTTTCTAGGGAGGTTTGCTAAGCCCATTTCTCTTCCGCTTTGACAATGAAACTCTCAAGGTAATTTGCGAGCGTGTGCTTTCGTCGTAGCAGTGTTATCTCATAAATGATGATGACAAAAGCATGCCGTTCGCTGCGGCTTGCTTCCTCATTAGTATGATCGATGATGAGGGTAAGCAATGCTGTCAGTTGTAGAGGAGTAAAGACTCAACGACGCTGAGAAGAGGCGAACGCGTGAGAGACACCGTAAGAGAATCCTTAGGCATAATTTAATTAAGAATCAAGAAAACACGAGAACAACAGTTAACTCAGATTTGGAAGTTCGGAATATCTTCTAAACCTAGAAGACTATTTTTCCAGACGGAAATCAAGCGGTGACGATAGATATACTTCTGGAATGAGATAGAGTAAAGGATAAAAACAAAGGATAAAGCTCTCGGCGTTGATCAATGCCTGAGGGATGCACCATGCATTCGACTTCATCTAAGCATGATTTGGAGGTGATTGAATGCATATCTAGCCTTTACAATGACTCGCTATGGTCTACCGATAAATCGACCCAGTGTTGCTATCCTCGTAGACAAGTTTGGCATCAATTTCCCGACCTTGGAGGGATGGAAGGCTTGGTGGGCCATTGGCGAGGGGTTCGATTCCAAACGTATTCCAAGGCCCCTTCGACCACTGCGCCACACGAGATAGAGTAGAACTAGTAATTAAGGATGGCTATTATCTATATCGTTATGCAAGATGAATACGGAGACCTAGAATTACGATCAGACGCTTGATGTGGGGGTTTGTCAGCGACACAAACTTTGACAAGTACATCATTTGAAATTGAACATTCCAGAAGTACGATTAAATGCGCTATAGCTTTATGTGGCTTCTTTAAGTGCATTGGGCTGCAGAAAATGACAGCAATAAGAGCCAAACTAGTAGCTCCGCTTAATATCATTGTGGACAATCCTGCACCGCTTTCATCAAAGTTAACTATGAAAATCCTATGGAACATCAGTGTCCTCCAAAAACCCTCTCTTGCACAAAAAATTGTGCTCTCCCTCCAAAAATGCAACACAACTCGCGTCGTGCCAAGTTCGCTATGAAACATGGCCCCTGCCGACTTCCACTTCCATTTCATGCATAGACTCTGTCGAATATTTTTTGCAGAGTATTTATTATGAAGCACGATTGAATAATTCCCCTGCGCGCTACACTAGTGAGAACCAGATAGGCGTGGTACTGATGAGTAGTTATACGGCAAAACCGGTTAACCCATGAAAGTAAAACTGTAACCGCAATAAGCTGCTTAAGCACGACTACACGATTTCCAGAATCGCTATGTTAATCTTTGCAAAGCGTCAGAAGTTCATGAAATATAAACAACATCCTCCACAAAATAACGAATGTCTGTCAAATCTCAGTCAAATTCACATAAACTCTCTATACAAGCTATTGCATCGCTTCTACACTTTCAAGCAATTCTATCGCTATCTGATAAACTTCTGTTCCAATGAAGCTTCCTGTATACCATCATATCTGATGCATTTTTTTTCACATGTACCATGTCCTGCTTTGAAGCAGCTCTATCAGACTGTACTAAGTGAGAAATTCTCTAGACCCTCTTTTGAGGATTAACCGTATGTTCTTCTGGTGAAACTCCGCCCATTACAGGAAGAACGTGAGGGGTACTATCAATCATCTCAGTTGGCTCAACAAGTGCCCTTACTGTCTCCATTATCGTCTCTGAGCTTGTATTCCTTACCTTTTCGGATAATGCCACATCATTAATATTGTATTGTTATTATTATTTCTATAAACGGTTATAACTCAGAATCTCAGGCGTCAACAGACTAGATGTATGGAAACACCGCAGTCCCGATTGCCAACCAGTACAAAATCGAGCATTCTCTCTCGAACTAGTGACTATTCGAATCTTACAACTGACTCAAACTACTATATTCCACGAAGCTAATTATTTCATTACAATTCCGGTTCATTGACGTCACTACATGAAATTCATCTTTTTAGAAAGAAAGATGAGAAAGCTAACGAGATTTATGGAGAATCCAATTAATAAAGGACTCACTATCCAGGTTATGCAACGACGACTCGGCAGACACATCGACTGTCGGCGGCATCTCAGGCTGAAAACATGAACATGAATAAGTTTTTCTCTAAAGTTAAAAACAAAAGGCCTGCTACTTGAAAATCTGCTAAGATGAAAATCGAACAAGTACTTTAGAAAATTTCAGGAAGCTTAGGAAAACGATATGTAATGTACTGAAAATGCTACGCAGTGTTTCAAGACAAGCGTCTCCAAATAATAACTACGTTCCTTGGAATAGTAGACTCTTCTAGTTGACTGCATACGAGGACTATGCTTCTAAGCAATTTCTAATTAGTGTTTTGACTTATCCGATATTACTTCTCTAATTATTTTAATTTGTAAAAGTGAATCTGGTTCCGGGAATAAACGCTAAGTTATCGGGTTTGAGATATTGGACGAATGATATAGCCAAACACAAGGCTACTCGGGAGAACAAAACAAGCCAAGAATCCACATCTTCACTTCGCTATATGTAGAATAATATTTATATTGATACTAATTAAAATTATTAGACTTCAAGATTATTTTTTGTTTCATTGAAAAGATCAATCTTACAACATCTTCGCTTGGAAGTGCAAGATAGTACTGAAAAGTTCAGTAAAAGAGAAAGGATAAAGCTCTCTCCGACAAACAATCCCTTAGGGATGCACGATGTTATTCAGTGTTAGCACACATTGTTAGAGGTGGTTGAATGTATGTCTGGCTCTGTCTGACTTTCAGCAGCCTACCAATGTATCAAATCAGTGTTCCTATCCTCGCAGATAAGTCTGGTACCAATTTAATAACTCCAGAGATGGGAAAGGGTTGACGATCCCGAAGGCAGAATCGAACCAATGACATCGTATGTATTGCGAGGCACCTCTAACCAGTGCGCTACACGTGCTCCATAAAAAAACATCAGTACTACATTGAATTGGTTCTGCTGCCTAATCAGATAATAACATATACCTAAGCGAGCTGTTGTCCGAATTCAAATATACCTTAATGAATGAAAGCTACGCTGGAAATTAATGTGGTGAGTGATTATGACTGAGTATGGGTGGAAGCTGTACAAAGGATAAAAAGGAAGCTGGAGCACCGCGGACCGCCCTCTGTAGCTAACGACACAGACTGCAGAATGAAACATGGCTATCGATTAACCGCCTTTAGAATGGGAGGGACTAAAGGAGGAAGCATGTGCGCGAGCACTCAACTCGCTTTTATACAAATAAACAGCAGTTTTATCCGTTAATTCATATCCCGCCGAAGTCGCTTTATCCGCGTGCACTCGGTGAGAATCTAGGAAAAACTGGAGAGATCGCGAAAATCGCATGACGGGCCGCACTATTAATACCCATGGAGGTTCAAATTTTTGCAACATCCTCTCCAAATGACATATGGATTTAAAGAGATCTGCAAAAGACACTCTTGCAAACAACAAGGAAGGAAAACAAGGCGGTCTAGTTTTTAGTGATGTGAACAAAGCATGATTTCTGCCACAGTAGGAAATCAACAACCCTAGGAAAGCGTCCTCTTATCGTACTCTGTTCCAAATAAATTGGCCTGAGAAATGATGTTAAAATCAAATTAAACTACAAAAAACTAGAATTATTTCATTGGCTTTGATTTCCAAAAGAAAAGACTACGGGAAAATTGAAAAAAACAGTTATTTAAAGCTTTATGCCAGGATAGAGTTCAAAAAGACAAGTGAAAAATTTTGGAAGATTCTGAATCCATCGTAATAGTGACCAAAAATACCAAGCAATCCCTTCTAACGTCCCAACGGTTTACCCCTAAACCTGGCTAGGGGGGGCTCCTGGGTGTCCCGCATCGACGTATAGTGGGGAATTCACACCACACAACAAGGTTTCCTAAGCTGAGAAGAAGTTCGGCATTTTCATCAAGAAGCCCAGTTAAAAGTAAACCAGTACCAGGATGTACTACTGTCCTGGTATCAAACTAGTTGCATGGTGGCAAATCTCCCTCTTATCCACAAGAGAGACGACTGCCTGTGGTGATGAAGATCTGGAGCAGACTCCGGCTAGGTTGACCGTGGAACTCCATGGTACCACAATGACTAAATCAACAAAACCCCGAAAAGATGGAAATTAAGCTGGAGTCGGCACAAACAGTGAGGACGGGCCATCCAAGTATCCAAGTAAATATCCTCTCTAAAGTTTGGAACAATCCAGTGCCATTTTCGTAAACAACGAATGAAAACAACTTTTGAAATTGATCGAAAGACTCATTTCGAGTAATGATCACAGCAAAAGCAAACTGGAAACAGCGAAGGGTGGATGGCTCACCGATTCGCTCTTGTTGATAGCTGGTGGACCTGGTGGTGAGCGTATTGCAACATTATCCTTAATGAATAGAAAAAAATAGATGAATAAGATAGAGTCAATTTTTACGTGTAAGATCACTTCTAACAAACTTCTTTAACATCTTTAGCTTGATATGTAACGAATGAAACAAAGCTTACCATTGAGCCATCTCGGCGGCACACTACAATCTCCAAACCATCTCCTTTTTCACAGCATTGTCGAATAATAGATGATGACACCAAATGGGAATGGCCTACCAAGACTTGACCATTAACCTAAAAACATTCCAAAATCAAACGAAGTAGGGTCAGCGATTAAGAAGGAGGGAAGCTATGAGGGTATGCAACATTGTATAGTAATACAAAGTATCCATGTGAAATGATATCTGAAACATTGCAGAGATTTCACAACCAAATATATGCCGCCGTCTTGAATTTTATCTATATGTCCAAGTAACCCTGTTCGAAAGTGGTAAACTTGGCATTTTCTGAAACAGAACCAGCCAGTTCAGATTTATCACTGGATTTTTGGCTCAAACGTAGTGGTTTGCAACCAACAATTTTCTTCTAAATTAAAGATGAGGTTTCTATTTGTCATTTTCACACGTTCGACCCGAAACACTAAAAAATACCTACCTCAAGCAGTTCATCTCCTGCTCGCACCGTCAACGGACATTGAACCTTCACTCCTAACACAAAAGTACTATTCTTTTCCCGATCACGATTTCCTGCCAACGATATACCGAGGCCTGCTTCGGGGACACGTTCGCAAGAGACCAACAGCAAAGTGCCGGAAAGGTTACCGTACTTACGTCTTATTTTGCCTGGAAATCTAGGGAATGAGTCGTCAAAATATTTTAGCCCGTCTAATATTTTCAACACAATACTATACCTTGAGTGTAACCGAAAGCACTCTCCGGTTCATCGTCATCGGGACTCTTTTCAAGCTCAGCAGCACTGGTCGATGACATTGCCACGCTCGATGGGTCGAACTGAAGTAAAATTCAGCTCTATAATCTTCATGACTGAGCTAGAATACTAAGAGAAACGATATCCATAGAGAATACGATGGTTGGATGGAACATAAATTTTACTTCATTCCTAATTTTCAGAAAAAAAATCCTAACGGGACAACATAAATCTAAATATTACGGGTCTCTCTTCATACAGAACAATATCTATCAGTACCTCATAATACACATGATCAAGAGCGATGAAAGGCTTTCAAATAACCTACATCTCACTAACTTTCGTGCATAAAGTGCCCGGATCTATTCGATACGCCCGGACTACGTGTTATAAGCAGAGTGTGAGGCACTTCAAATACGGAGCACCACTGTGAAGGATTTATAGTGGGTTCTTTGTGATGTGTAATAACACCTATTTAGTCCGAACAATATGAAAAGAACCGCACAAAATCTGAAAAACATCTGGGAAAGGGACATTATCCATGTGACGAACTATGGTCACTCCAGACAGCACGTATGAACCGTCGTCTCATTACGAACTTATTCACTACCGCTCAGCGCATAGGCCACGACTCTTTTGGTGTATCGGATAAGCATAGTAGACCTAACCATCGGTTTATTAGAGATGATATTTAGCCTCTTAGTGATTGCTTTTCATTGACTTGATGCCACTGTGAAAGAATAGTACCTTAAAATTAATGTTCACATAGCGAAGGCATAGCCCTGCTTCGAAGCACACTTTAGCAAAGTATTCTCTGTTTATCGAATAACGCAAATATAGCAATCATTAATGTAAAGCTACTTGAAATATAGGAAGTACAAGGCAAGAAGCTAGTGCAGATTGCCCTTCAAGTGCTTACTTTCAATCTCCATCCCACCCAGCTGAGTTAGGAAGTGGTGTAAAGAGAAAGAAAGAAGTGAAACTTAAGTGAAAACCAGCAACCTGAACTGCCGAAGTGCTGGGCTCCTCCTCATGGGTCTCAGAACTAGACACGTCCGACACTATCAGTGGTCCTGACTGAAACCCGAAAAAAATTTCACAAAGACAACAAGACTTACAAATTCGGATGTCTGTTGTACCAAACACAAAAGAACTGACGTGAAAGAGAAATGAAATTCAATCAAGTAACTCGTATGAAATGCTGAGATATTTGCAAAACTCCGGACCACAGGTGTATGCAGTAGGGAACGAACACGCGCTGTTGTCCTTACCGGGGAGCAGCGCACTTCACCACTACACCATCCGGGTCAATCAAGTAAGTTTTCATTTTTAGCAGCATATATAACGAGGTGTTAAACTAGATATCAAGAAATATTAAGCACAATGGACTTCTTGAAAACACCATGCGAGTGAGGAGCGCTTTTCCTCGTAAATTATATTACTAGAAAAAGCAACCATTTCCACTTGATAACTAACACGTATATGCATACCTCTCTACGGAACTCTCCACTCCGCAACGAATCCCTTTTCATAGCACCGACGGTGTCGTTGCTGCGATGACAGCTCGTTTCAGCCTTCGGTATGCCTTGTTGCTGAGCTGTTATACTTGCTCTGCTAGCAGGTTCTTGTGTTTCACTTTCCTCACTTGGGCAATTCTTTGTTGAACTTGATGGCTTCTCGTTGTTGGTTTGAGAAGGCACAAGTTGTTCTTTTACTTCAACTTCTATCTTCTTGGTAGAGTCATTCATCTCAGAGATCACACTAGGGGATTCCGTTAGCTCCTCAGGTTTTGCACTTTCCACCCGAAACGAGTCCGTTGAGTTTTGCGCAGAGTTGTCCACCTGCTGAAACATTTTTGAAAAAACCTAAAAAATCACGTACAAAATCAAAACATAGAAATAAAGGAAGACATCTGACAATGATGTTCACAAACTTCGCTCCATTACCAAGGTTCTTTGACAATCCAGAGATTTGCAGTAGCGCCCTTATCTGGCCGGAATGCGTGAGAAAACTACTGACCCAGTGGAATTTTCATGTTTGAAAAAAGCGCATTGCGTCAAAACTCGCATGCAAGGTTTTTGCGGCAATGTTTTGCCATAAAGTTTGCAAAGTACTAGATTCTATGAATGTGCGGTAATACCTCGCAAACCACAGATTTGTCCCATGTTCGGCACTCTACCCCCAACAACAGGTTCTACCTTAACCAGTTTCTTAATAGATTTATTGTGTTAATCTATCGATAGGACGTCATTAACTTGTCTTATGGATGGCGCACACCGACTCCGACTGAGCAAAGTCCCAAAAACGAAAAAAACCGTTTATATAACAGATGAATCTAGAATCTCTGATCCGTCAGCTGTTGGTCGATCTCCACTCAGCCGCGAAAGTGTCGTATACAGCTTCTCATCTTTTATTCATTCTGTATCAGAATAAACATGTTTATAGTCACCTTCAAGCCACAACCTTGTTTCGTGAAAAACATGTTGCAAACCAACAGAAAAATGGACCCACGAGCAGATTTTCCGGAAAACCTGTCTTAAGTGTCGGATACAGAAGGGACCCGATGCATAATATCATGACTAAACCACCACCTTTATAAAATAACGGACTTCTACGCTGTGTTCTTAAGGAATGTAGGATAACAGCTCAAGGATCGTCTCTTTCATCGTGCCTTCATTCTTATCGATCTAACTTCACCTAAAAATGTATCCAGCAATGTCCCTTTCGTTAACACTTCTCATGTTCTACGGGAGGTTTTGCAAAAGACAAAAGATTGATACGATGAGATGTAATGATTCACACACGCCGAGCACTCCCGTCTGAGTATTGTCTAGACAAGTCGTGAAGTTTACTATACAAATAAAATCTACGCTTACTCTACCTTCATGCTGATGAATATACGGAGTAATCTACTTAATCAATGACGTTAACTGACGTCACAACTTAAACTTTCGTGCTTTTTCGATTTTTTAATTAAAAAATTAATGCACATACAATATACAATGACATTGGTCTTTGTTGTGAACTCTACCTTCCACGCATTGATTCGATCTGTTCCCATGTACCAACGTATTATAGAAGAAGAGATCAAGAAAGTTACTTGTTGTGGAGCACCGCTGTGAAGCGACTGGAGCACAAACCGAACCGGATTCGTGGCACTCTTGATCGCGTTCACCGCCTGCTCATGAGTTGCTTCTCGTAAATCGATGTCATTCACCTTAAAAAAATCTCTAATAAATTAATAATAGGCCTACCCGCTAATATATTTCTCAGAAATAAGAAAGTTTTTGCTGCACTCTCTGAGATGAACGTCAGCCTGATGTTAAACGTCTTTGCACAGCTTTGTAAACATTGCAAATTAAACCAACAGAACAGTTGAGTAAACTCAATGGCTTTTCATCAACCAAACCATTTTCTTGTGGAAAACCACTTCTATCTTAAGAACAAAAACTGGTTCTATTTGTCCATCAAATTAACGAATTTCATGCAGTTAACGCACACACACCACAATCATTATTAAGCGAACCTCAGTCTGGTAGCTTCAAGAATGTTTAACGCATCTGCACAAGGAGCACAATGGCTTAAACGCAGATCAAAACCGAATTCGTAATGGTCTTGAGAGGTGGGAGTAGACAGAGTGGAGTTTCTGTGATGAAAACCTCATACATACCCTCCATGTGTACACTGGCATATGTAAGCACGAATGTCTGCGTGTGCTTAGTATACATATATGTATACACATAGAAATACATGTATATATATGTTAGCGCATTGGTTAGTGATGCCGTCAACCAGGAAACAAAGCGGCCAGTTCGACCCTCTCCCAAACAATCTCCTCCAATCCATGTGGAAACGGTCTAGCTCGGCTAACCCAAGATTATAAGGAGAATAAACTGGATCAGCAATCTAACATCCATAAAGGAGACGAAATCCTCAAGCGCCAGTCGAAACAACATGCGAAACGTTCGAAGACAATTGTGGAGAATAAATACGAGGAAAAAGGAATGTAATGCAAGAACTGGAGGGAACCGCATAGTAGATGTGATGACAGGTCGTGTAAATATATATATATATATATATATATATATATATATATAAACGAAAAAGTTCTTGGCACTGATCAATCCCTAAGAGATGCGCCATGATTCGACAACATTAAGCATCGTTTGGAGGTTATTGAATGCATATCTGACCTTTACAATGAAACGCGGTGACCTACCGATGTGCATCGAGCCGGTGCTGCTACCCTCCCAGACAAGTCTGGTACCAATTTGCCGATCCCGGAGGGTTGGAACGCTGGGTGAGCCTGGGGCGAAGGGATCAATCCCACGTGTGTTTTAGCGCACCTCTAACACTGCGCCACACACCCGACTCGAGTATATATATATATATATATATATATATATATACTTAATATTTTATTAATATTAATACTATTATATTAATATTAATACTTATATTTTCATTTTCTCGTTTTAATTATTTAAATTTATGCAAAGCTGTTGATCATGTGATTACTACTCAGATTTTCATCTTTCTGTTTGCGTTGCTGAGGCGTTAGGTGTGACAAATTGCATATCAATATATTTTTACATGCTCTGAAGATGGCGATACAGTCGAAGCATCAGCTTTACCGGAATAAGGAATCATTTAACACCTCATCTTTGCCCAATAAAAACATAGATAACTATTTGATCAATGCAGTGGTTAATGAAAAGTCGGTCCTGGGATTTATTTATTTAACATGACCCGTCATCACGTGTACTGTGCGGATACCAGCACTTCCTTCTTACAATCCAACATCCGCAGCTGTCTTCGAACACTTCATGTGTTGTTTCAGCTGCTGATTGAGGATTTCGCCTTGTTTGTGAATGTTATAGAATGCTGGTCGAGTCAATTCTCTTTCTATCTTGGAGATATCCGGGCAAAGGCGTTCCAACGTGGATTAAAGGAGAGAGCATGTATATACA